CGGTGCAGTCGAGGATTTTGCCCAACAGTTCTCGACTGCTCAGAAACAGACTGAGGCTATTAAGCATATTCTGCCCCGACGGCCCGCTGCTGCCTCCACCCAGCCGACCGGGCAGAATACTCAGTCTGTTCGCCGCCGAGGGCGCCCTCCTACGGCTCCCGCCCCTCCCGCCCGGCCCAAGCAGCAGCCTTCACCTGGGCCCGGTCGCGGAGGAAGCCGTAAGAAGGCGCCCCAGCCCTCTCCAGCCCCGCCCCCCGCTAAACGCCGGGCCAAGCGGCGCTCCTGAGACGGGCTGCTCAGGGATGATGTGCACTTTTCAGGAGATGGTGGCAGGACCACTCCTTCCCCCGGTGGAGGGCCGGGGGAGAATCTTTTGTTCTCCACTCCCCGCTGCTCACCTTCGGGTGGGCAGCACCCTAATGTGGTTAAAGAAAGAAGTGACATATTCATTCCTGAGCACACAGAGTTCTCGGACGACACGGTGCGCCGCCCCCGGGCCGTGCACCCCTCGTCCTCCTCTGTCCCAGAGCCGGATGACAGTGCGCGCCGTCCCTGGACCGTGCCGCTCTCATCCTCCTCTGTCGCCAGACCCCTGGCAGAGCAGACCCCCGTGGAATGTTCGTCCTTCCCTGGTCTCCTCTGTCAGGACGCGGTCTATGGCTGTACCCCCACACCGGGCCGCTATGCCGTCCACGTCTGGGTCAGCCATACCGCCTCGCTGCCCCACCGACGGGAAGTCTGTGGTTCGCATGACCCCGCTGGTACAGTCCTTGGGAGCCTGGCTAGAGCTTCATAACCTGTCCCGCTGGGTCGCACGAACGATCAGGCTCGGCTACGCGATTCAGTTCGCGCGGTCTCCTCCCCGCTTCAGGGGAGTCCGCTCCACTATGGTCGGTGGCAATGCCCCTATCATGAGAGCGGAGGTTGCTACCCTGCTGGCGAAGGGTGCGATCGAGACTGTCCCTCCAGCCGAAATGAAGACCGGCTTCTACAGCCTGTATTTCATTGTCCCGAAGAAAACCGGTGGGTTACGGCCAATCCTGGACCTGCGCGTTCTGAACCGCTCCCTTCACAGGCTGCCGTTCAAGATGCTCACCGCCAAACGCGTTTTCGAATGTGTGCGGCACCAGGATTGGTTTGCAGCGATCGACCTGAAGGACGCCTACTTTCATGTCTCCATCCTCCCTCGACACAGACCGTTCCTGCGGTTTGCTTTCGAGGGGCAGGCATATCAGTACGCAGTTCTCCCATTCGGGCTAGCCCTGTCTCCTCGCGTCTTCACGAAGGTCGTCGAGGCAGCCCTTGTTCCCCTCCGGGAACACGGGGTTCGCATTCTGAACTACCTCGACGACTGGCTAATTCTAGCTCACTCTCGAGATCAGCTTTGCGAACACAGGGACTTGGTGCTCCGCCATGTAGCCCATCTGGGCCTTCGGGTCAACTGGGAGAAGAGCAAACTTTGCCCCGTGCAGACGATCTCTTTTCTCGGTATGGAGATCGACTCGGTCGCCATGTCCGCGCAGCTTACGAGTGAGAGCGCGCAGTCACTGCTGACTTGCCTGAGACAGTTCGAGGGCAAGAGTGCGGTTCCACTGAAACTTTTTCAGAGGCTCCTGGGGCATATGGCATCCGCAGCCGTGGCAACACCGCTCGGATTACTTCATATGAGACCGCTTCAGCTTTGGCTTCGCGACCGAGTCCCGAGGTGGGCATGGCAACACGGCACTCTCCGAGTATCAGTTACTCCGACCTGCCGTCAGACCTTCACCCCGTGGTCGAACCTCAGTTTTCTACGGGCCGGAGTGCCCCTGGAACGAGCTTCCCGGCATATTGTCGTAACGACAGATGCCTCTACCACGGGCTGGGGTGCCATGTGCAATGGACGTGCTGCCGCGGGCTCCTGGACAGGACCCCACCGCCTATGGCACATCAATTGCCTCGAGTTGCTGGCTGTACAGCTCGCCTTGCGCCGCTTCCGAGCCGTGCTCAGGGGCCAGCATGTACTAGTCCGTTCAGACAATACCGCGACCGTAGCGTACATCAACCATCAAGGTGGTCTGCGCTCCCGCCGTGTGTCGCAACTCGCCCGCCACCTCCTCTTATGGAGTCAGAAGCATCTGAGGTCGCTTCGTGCCATTTATATCCCCGGAGCCCTGAACTGTGCAGCCGACGAGCTCTCACGGCTTCAGCCCCTCCTGGGAGATTGGCGACTCCATCCCCAGTCGGTTCAGCTGATTTGGGACCAGTTCGGGGACGCACAGATAGATCTGTTTGCCTCTCACGACTCGACCCATTGCGCCCTTTATTATTCCCTGACCGAGGGCACGCTCGGCACGAGGCACTGGCGCACAGCTGGCCGCAGGGCCGCAAATATGCGTTTCCCCCAGTGAGCCTTCTTGCGCAATTCCTGCGCAAGGTCAGGGAGGACGAGGAGCAGGTCACTCTGGTCGCGCCGTACTGGCCCACCCGGACCTGGTTCTCCGAACTCATACTCCTCGCGACAGCACCTCCTTGGCCAATTCCTCTGAGGAAGGACCTCCTTTCTCAGGGACGGGGCACCCTATGGCACCCTCGTCCCGATCTTTGGAACCTCCACGTGTGGCTCCTGGATGGGACGAGGCAGGTTTGAGTACCCTACCACCAGCGGTGGTGGCTACCATCACTTCCGCTAGAGCGTCGTCCACGAGACACGTCTATGCGTTGAAGTGGAACCTCTTCGTCAACTGGTGCTCTTCTCACCGAGAAGACCCCCGGAGATGTTCGGTCAGTGTCCTGCTTTCCTTTCTTCAAGAGGGATTGGAGCGAAGGCTGTCTCCCTCCACCCTCAAGGTCTATGTCGCCGCTATTGCCGCACATCATGACCCGATAGAAGGTAAGTCTGTGGGGAAGCATGACCTGATCATCAGGTTCCTGAGGGGAGCGAGGAGACTGAATCCTCCTCGCCCTCCTCTCGTACCCTCTTGGGACCTCGCAGTGGTCTTAACTGCCCTGCGCAGCGCTCCCTTTGAGCCTTTGCAGTCAGTCGAGCTTAACTTCCTGTCAATGAAGACAGCGCTTCTGACTGCATTGGCCTCCATCAAGAGGGTAGGGGACCTGCACGCATTCTCCGTTGACGAAGCGTGCTTGGAATTCGGGCCGGGTGACTCTCACGTGATCCTGAGACCCCGGCCTGGATATGTGCCCAAGGTTCCTACCACTCCCTTCCGGGACCAGGTGGTGAACCTGCAAGCGCTGCCCCCGGAGGAGGCAGACCCAGCCTTGGCACTGCTCTGTCCAGTACGTGCTCTTCGCATCTATGTAGACAGAACGCAGTGTTTCAGGACCTCAGACCAGCTCTTTGTCTGTTATGGTGGGAAGCTGAAGGGAAAGGCTCTCTCCAAGCAAAGGTTGTCTAACTGGATAGTGGACGCCATTGCTTTGGCATACCAGCAGCAAGGTCGACCGTGCCCCCTTGGTGTGACCGCCCACTCCACCCGGAGTGTCGCGTCCTCTTGGGCTTTAGCGCATGGCGCCTCGCTAACAGACATCTGCAGAGCTGCAGGCTGGGCGACACCTAACACATTTGCCAGATTTTACAATCTCCGAGTGGAGCCAGTCTCCTCCCGTGTACTGTCTTTTTCAAGCTAACATGGGATTCGTTAGGTGTCTTCGCTTGCTCGCCATGCCACTCCTCGGACTGGATACGTGCGATATTCTCCTCAGGTGAGCTTTCCCGAAAGCCCTGAGCTCCTCCAGCACTGCTGACGCTGGCGCCAGTGTCTATTGCCTGCGTGTCGGCTAGGTGCCTTCCGTGTGCATGGTACCTCCTCTGAACTACCCCCACATGTGTATTTCCACTGTAAGCCTCTTTGAGCATGTGTCTTTCCCTCGGCAGGCCACCTTGCCACCCCTGGGGTTGAAATATTCCACCTGCGGCTGGACACCCCAGTGATTCCCCATATGCATCCCTCGGGTCATATGTGTATTTTTAAGTCCCCCCCTCTGGGTTGGCAGTAATTGCATACTTCCCTAAAAGATCTGGGATATGCTCCCCAGTGTACCTTGGTATTCCTGTGTTAAATAGGAGTCCTTCGTCCGTGCTAGTCTCACGACAGGGATCTCAGATTTACGTAGGGTACTGGAAGACAGCTGAGAAGTGGCGTGATTAGACTGGTATCCCCATTCGTCGTCATCCGACGGAACTCGGAGTGACAACGAAAGGGAACGTCTCGGTTACGGATGTAACCCTCGTTCCCTGAGTAGGGAACGGAGACGTTCCGTCTGCCTGCCACTTCCGCTGTACCGCGGGGATCACCTGAGCTCAGTCTTGGCTCCTCAGCGAAGAAAACATGCCTATTTGCTGCCAGCGTTCTCCTTAAATACCCACGAGGTGAGGCGGAGTTACGCTATGCAAATTCCGCAGACCCATGGCATTTCTTTGCCATTGGCTCGTTTTGTAGTACTCGAAGTCGATTGGCTTTCTAAGCGAAACCCCCATTCGTCGTCATCCGACGGAACGTCTCCGTTCCCTTTCGTTGTCACTCCGAGTTCCGTCGGATGACAACGAAACTGTTTGTTCTGTTTGTTCTCTGTGTGTTTGACAGATGAAGTGAAGTCAGTGTCAGTGATGGAGGGAGATTCAGTCTCTCTAAACTCTGATCTTACTGAAAGAAAAGATGATGATTGGATTCAGTGGAGGTTTGGAAAGACTTTAATAGCAGAAATCAGTAGACGGGTCACCAGAATCACTGTATATGATGATGTTCTTGATGGGAGATTCAGAGACAGGCTGAAGCTGGACAATCAAACTGGATCTCTGACCATCACACACACCACAACTGAACATGAAGAACGTTATGAATTAGTGATAATTTCAGGAATATTCATTTCATCAAAAGCATTCAGAGTTTCTGTCAATGGTGAGTAGAGATAATTTGTCCTGTGCTTCAAATATTCTTATTTTATTAACTAGTTACATATTGAATTGTTGAATCACTTTAGTTTGAAATGAACTCATAAGATTGTTGATCATATTTCTGTGTATTCAGAAATATTAGTTGATGTCAGCGCTGATATTAGTGTTTATTGACTGATCTGATCTCAGTTTGATGTGTTTATTCCTCAGACTCTGTCCACTGTTGTGGTCCTACTGAAGCTGTGATCCGATTGGTCCTCTCTGCTCTGGTGGGCGTGGCTACTGTCATCATTCTGGTTTATGACATCAGATCCAGAAGAGCTGAACAAGATCAAGCACATATTCACACATCAGGTGCATGATTGATGATGTCATTTCTCACTAACTCAATTAGCATATATTAATATTTGTGAGATTTATTAATGTACAGTTTTATATGTTCATATTTTTCAGGAAGTGTTGAAATGTAAAGCAGAACGCTGAACTTTAAAGATTCTTCAAGTGTGTTTTTGTTTTCTAGAATTTTTGTCATAGTATATACTATTGATTGAGCTTCTGTTCTCTCTTTCAGTGTCAGATTTTTATAAACTAATTTGTAAAGCTTTGTTCATATTTATCTCTGATATATAAAAAAGTAAATAAAGAGTCACACAGATCTCACTTTACTACAGCTGTATATTTGTCACATGTATTTGCTTGTCTTTATCAATAAAGTTTCTCACTCTGAGGTTCAAGAGTCTCGCCATGTTTCATTACATTTATTATGTCGAACTCCTCCTGGATATCAACTTTATATATAGTGTTTTAAACTTTTTCTTTGTCGAAGCAGAGACCAGGAGACGTTGGGATTGTCACGGCTCGCAGCAAGGAAGACGGAGATGAAAGTAGTTCAAACACTTTCTATTACAGACACAGACAGGGAAACACAAGTGAGGAATGAAAACAAACTGAAAGTCTATGAACATAACATAATGGTGACAAAGGATATCTTTCAAGCAGAAGTTACTCTTTATTGAGGACTCACTGTTCGTCACTGTAGTCATCCAAGTCTGACTATTAGTCAGCACAGTAGAGTTTATAGCTTTCAATACATCGAGGTTGAGACAATCTAAACAAAGTATGCAAATGCAGTACAGGAGTCAGCCCGTTACTGGAGTTTCCCAAGCCCTCATCTCATCAGCAAAACAGTGTCATTCAAATGCATAGATGCTAATCCAATCAGCCTGACAGACACCTGGGTTGCCTGTCTTAAAGGTGAACTAAGTAACTTTTTTACCTTAACCGAACAGCTGTGGAGTCATTGTAATGTTTATATTACTGATTTCGTGTTGAATGGTGGTCGTCTCCAGAGGCGGACAGAGTACAGAGCTTTGTTACTTGAGTAAAAGTACAGATACCCCTTGCTAAATTTTACTCAAGTACAAGTAAAAGTACTACATTCAGATGTCTACTTAAGTAAAAGTACTAAAGTACTTGTTTTTAAAAGTACTTGAGTATCAAGAGTACAAGAGTAAATTTTCTAAATATTGCATTACTAATCTACTGCCACAGTGCTTACATTTATGCACAGAAACGTCCTACATGGAGTTATGAAAAATGTTAATGTTAATACCTTGGAGAATGTAAAAGGAATTGAAAGTAAAATCAAGTCATTTTCATCTACCATGTTGCTTTATTTAATTTAATTAAAATTTTGGGGGGTCCCATCTTTAAATGCGGGGACAACACACACACACACACACACCACATGTAAGGGTGGCGCTGCCAATAAAGCACCTAAAAGCTGTCACAAAGAACCGGCAAAAGGAATGATTATGAATATGTAAAATATAGCAAGGAGATATTTTAATTGTTTATTAATAAACACTTGTTAATAAACAAGTGTTTTCTTTGTCAGTGTCGGCTAGATGAAGTTGACGATGCTGACTCGCGATCTTCAGTAGTGGACGCGCCAGAGAGAAATGCACATTTCATACGGATTACATAAGCAGAGAACAGTCTGTAGTCTGTTTTCTTTCGTTTTGAATTTTTCTGTTTAAAAGTAGACATGTCTGTGAGAGGCAAGTAGGCTACCTTATACACGGAGTTTCGGTTCATTTATGAGACGAGATCCAGTTCACGTGCCGGCGCCTCCATTTCTTATCTATCGTCTGCTATTTACTTCTTATTTATTAAACCCAGGCAATTGGTTGATGAAACATTGATTAAAATTAAGATACAATTAATGCAAAACGAAATTCAGGTTAAAGAAAGGTTTTGTGTTTTCTGTTTGATGTCTCTGTGAAAGTTTTAAAGCATTTTTTATGCCGCTTTCAGAACGCTCACGTCCGTAACGGAGAACACGTCCATAACATAGTTTTTTCCTCATAAATGCAAACCCGAAAAATAAAATAAAACAAAATTAATATTTTATGTACTGTGGAGACTGAGCGCCAACCCTTCTTCATTCGCTGGGTAGTAGCCTATTTTTGGTTTGTGCAGTGTAATTCACACAATCAGTAAAATATTTTGCCTCCTGAAGTTTTTTTTTTAAGAAATCAGAAATCCCTCGTGGGTACGCCACTGCCACATTTGAACCTGACTGTGTTAAACACACCACATACTCAAGAACATCAAACCAAATGCTTGGCTTACATTAATGTGTAATATAAAATCTGACCATGGAGTTGACTTTGGTGGAAAGCTGAAGGTGATTGCTGATAGGCTGTCCCAATCAGTGGCGCCTGCACAATCCAATCACGTTTGAGAGGGAAACAACAAATTGAGGGTTTCCGAGATTTTTTTTTTTTTTTTACTCGGGTACTCACGTTTATGGATAGAAATGTATTGGAGTAAAGAGTACAATATTTGCCTCTCAAATGTACTTGAGTAAAGTCATGAGTACTCCCCAAAAATGATACTCAAGTAAAGTACAGATCCTTCAAAATTGTACTTAAGTACTGTACTCAAGTAAATGTACTCCGTTACTGTCCGGCTCTGGTCGTCTCACACCCCCCTGGTGCCTGTGAGCCGCAAAACCACCCTTGCAACTTTGGGCCGGCGAGCCGCCGGCCTCAGTGTTAGGAAGTATCGTGTGATATCAGGTCTCGCGACGTAACGAAATGCTTTACGGCAAAAAAACAGATCTGATAAAATTCTGATAAAATGAGCATCAAACAGAAATAACCCGGCGCCGTATACATGTGGTGTTGGGCGCGCGCAGCTCTTAAAGGGGCCATACCTTATTTCCACTCGTTACAGCGTCCATCCTACTGAACAGGTACCGGTGTACAGGGGAGGGGATCCGGCCGTGAGTGCGAGCCATCTCTGCGTGAGTGCTATTCACGACAGTATAAGTACTCCACAGCGACTCTAGGGGTCGCAGTTTGAAAAAAACGGAATTGCTGCTTTAATCTTCTTAGAATCTCAAAATGTAAAACACAAGTGTACACAACGTTTCTATACCATTGGAACCTAGATTTGAAATTTTATAAATTATAGTCCAAACATATTAATATTTAAGCCACATATAAAGCTTTACATTTTTTAATATATTATTTAAACATTATTTGTAAATGTTTACATTATTATTATTAGCTCATTAATTTTCTACTTTTGTTGATTTGGGACACATTATAGTATACTTTGAGATCACAGTGAAATACATAAACACAACATATCGATCCTCCATTTCCTCCAACAGGCGATGATAAAGTCTTTAAATCTCTAGTGTGATTTGTCTCTGTGGTCTCGTCTGAGGAGCAACTCCTCCATCTAGTGGCTCACCCTGAACTCACATGTTATCAGGAGTTATTTACTCAGTCTCTGTAATGAGATCCAGTGATTGTGTCTGTTACTCAAGAAAGCCACTAGATGGCGCTGTGTTTAGTATTATGTAAATAATGCTATGAATAATGAAGAATACAAACATGCTTTAGTGTTCAGAGAAAATGTTGAAACTGCACTGAAAAATATTTTATTCAAATCACTGAACAAAACATGGTCCAGGAGTGAACTCAAACTAAAAACAGCTTGTTGTAAAAGCAACATAATGGAGACCTTGAAACCGGCAGAGAATTTGAAGCTCACAGGAATGTTGACAGCGACTGCCACAGTTTCAGGCAGCAATTTGAGTTACACATGGCAGCCATCGGGACAGACACGAAGCCAGAAGCACGTTAGGTTTATTTACTGATGATTGTTGGTTCACTGGATATTTTTTTTTTTTTTTTTGTTGAAACACAGAGATAGAACTATTGTGAAAACTTAAACAGTCAAAAAGCTGAACCCAAATGCAGATAAAAACAAGCTCGATGATGTGCTGGCCAAATTCAATGCTCACTGTTCACCTAAAAAGAATGAAACTTATGAAAGACTTATGAACTTATGAAAACTTTCATGCGTTTAGTTCACGCATGAAGTGTTTGACAGCTTCCTGACTGACCTGAGACACAAATTCAAGACATTTTGACCAGCTGAGTGAATCAATGTTAAGGGATCACACTGTTTTTGGCATTTCTGAAGAAAAAGTCAGACAATGTTTATTGAGAGAAACGGAGCTTACTTTTCAAAAGGCAATTAAGATCTGTCAAGCCAGTAAACTTGCCCAAATTAACGTTTGGTGAGATGAAGCAAGAGCGTGTCTGCAAGCACAGATGCCACAATCGCTGCAGTTTCCTTCAAAGGGGAAGCGACACACATCCAGAGCTGTAAAACAGAAGAATGGTGTTTATAGTTGCAAACGTTGTGGTACCGAGCATCAGCCTAAGCAGTGTCCAGCTTTTGGAAAACATGTGCGAAATGTAAAGGTAAAAATCATTTCGCCAGAACAATGTGTTTCTAAATGAACAGAAAGACAAAAAGAGTGATCTGTCAAGATGATACATCTGAGGATGATACACCACACCGGACAAAGCAATGACACTCTAAGCATATGCAGCTAAAAGTAATAGTGAAAGAGAAAATGCATCACCTAATGGTGTTTTATTAACAAAGTTAGGGAGAAGTAATCTATAATAATCTATCCATCTACATTCCTCGACAGTTTTCAGCATCCCTCCACCAGCCCGACTCCTCACTCTTGGTTTGTTCCTACCGGGTTCGAGCCACATATGAAGTCCTCGGAAATTACGCCAAATACACATACCATTTATTCTATCTGACTTATTTGTAAGTGTGAACTCGTGAACTTTTCTCTGGCGAGGAACTAGAGTCCCTGCCGGGTGACAAAGCCTGTGAGAACTTGAATCTTGTCAAAAGGGTGAACCACATCAACCATCACAGTTCAGCTGTGAGTACAAGCAACTGCGACACAGTGCAGAGCTTCGCAGATGTGTTTAAAGGCTTTGGTGTCTTTCCTTATGTTCACAAGATTC